GCCCCACAAGATATGGAATTGTATCAGCACGCATTGTGGTGCACTGCAACACAGGTCCACTGCCTTAAGGCATTGGAATGCCATTTACCAACATGTGGAAGGTGCGTCACCCCAACAAAAAGGTGTAAAGTCTTAAACAAAAAAAAACCCCAAACAACATTTTCAGGTTTGATTTGAGTGTACAGCTGATGTTATAAGCTTGTAGGGGTTAAAGCTGAAAAAAGAAAAAAAAAAAAGTTGGTGCCGCATTTAAAAACATACAAAATGTGGGTAGAAAAATGATACACAAGATCATACATAAATATGAATATAATTATTTATTGCATTTACTGTTTGAGCTGCCAAAAGTTAACAAGCTTGGTAGGTTTAATGTTAAAACATATATAAAAAAAAAAGACCTTGACAAACAGTCTGAAAGTTCTACTATACCCGCATATGAAAATAATTACAAAGACTAAAATATATATAAAAGTTTTCCACAAGGAAGGTTGTACACTATTTACACAGAAATTCCCATTTCTCAGTTCTGGATCCTCAGAGGAAGTTTGGATCTCGGGACAGATGGTTCTTCTTCTGAAACTTTGGACCTCTCCAAAATGCTCCCATTTGCTTTGTTCTCTTTTTCTTTCCTGTGTCCTTTCTTTTGCTATTCAACAAAGTGAGCGGTGGGGGAAAGAAATCGTGTCAGATTATGTTATTCTGTTACAAAAGTTTTTATTGGGGAATACAAAGGAAATACAAGATGGGCAAAAATCTCCATACAACAAAAAGAAACAGAATATGGTTAAGTGTCAACATGAACATTAGCGATGGTGTAGGCATACAGCATAAATAAAAAACATTATCCTGGCTGGTATCAAGAAGGAATTGCACGCCCCCACCGGCACCATATCACCCCCCTTACTATTGTAGGTCTTAAGAGGCTGATACGGGGACTATTGACAGAAGGACACAACCTTACAACTGTCTGGCCCAATCCTGGGATTGCTAAAACACAAAATAAAAAACCCAAAAAGCGCAAGGATAACCATGCTCGGTACACAACAGATTCAATGGAGTGCATGACCAAACCCAGTGGGATGCAAAGTCCCAATGGGGATCGTCACACTGTTGAAGCAAGGCAAAATTCTCCAGTGATGACATCAGTGCGAGAAGAAAAAGAAAAAAGAAAAGCGAGGGACCTGTTTAAACTTAAGCGGATTATGAAAAAGAAAGTCAAATGTGCAACAAACATACAAACTCCATGCAATAAGAGTCCCCGGTGTGAGGTCAACCTAGGACCATCAGCATTGCAAGTCAAGCATCTTGTCAAATAGGCCAATACTACTCCATAAACTGCAGTGATGGGTAGTTCACCTGTTTTTTGGAGATCATACGGTATACCCATTAAGATTTAAATTCCTTCTTTGTTAGGCAACCCCGAATGGAAACAGCAATACGATCCTCATCTGTATCACCTCAGCCATCACAGTCCTGCTGCTTTTACAAATGACCTAATAAAAAAGGAGTTTCAATCTTTCTTCTTCCCCACTCCTGGAGTAAAAACACATCTCTGCTGCTCATTATGTGACCTGGAGAGCGGTGATGGATGTCACATTGGCAGCAGAGCAGTAACAATGCTTTTACTGCCGGATATAGAACCCATCAAATCTGGAGCACAAGAAAAATGTTGCCGTTTCCAGCAACTAGGGATTTATCTAAAGCTATCCATCACCTCAATCTTACATTCATACTTGCAGCGTGCGGCTTTACGTTTTTTTGTGCATCACTCCTACAGCAGCCCATTCATTTCAATCAGCTGTCCTACATGCGGCAAAGAAGTTCATGTACCTTTTTTAAGTTTGAGTTAGACACGTTTATTTAAACTCCTGTTTTTACACACACAAAAGATGCGTTTTGTGCAGCAATAACAAATGGCACGGCAAATGCAATGCTCATTTTTTGCTTGTTTTGAGAACCTTGCGACTTGGCATTTGTTCACACTCATGTAGCATGTAAATGACTGCAAAGATTTCTTATACAGCCCCGCAGCCTTTACAGAAATCACTCAGCTCCCCCATCCTAAAATGAAGATGAGGGGGGTGTCTTCAGGGGAACCAGACACCCCACAAATAAAAAAATGGTTATTAGATCATTGTAAATTATGTAGTGAGTGTAGTGTTGGGTGTTTCATTAGACAATTGGTCATTGCACAAGCTGACATTTTGGAATCTGGGTCGTTGAAATCAGTCACTAGCGTCCTATACATTTCAGTGACTTTGGTGAGTGATAGTTCTGTAATTTCTATAGCAGGGTTTCTGGGTCAGTCAACCAGATGTGGCCATTACAAGGAAGTGGAGAGGGGGGCGGTTAACTGTCTTCCACCTTGGGAAGCAAACACACTTTTCCAGTAGATTCCCTGAAGCTAGAAGTCCAATGATGGAAATCTTTGGTTTAGGCAGGCTATCTGAAATGCTGCTAGAATTTAGGAATTGATTTTACCTGGAAGAAGGGGACACCACCGTTTTCTTGGCAAAGAACGTTGACATCTACAATGGATTTCTCACTCATAATGCTGTCATTAACGGCCAGTGGCTCATCTTCCAGAGAATCCTGATGAAAAAAAAAAAATAGAATTTAGGACCCGATTTAATATCGAGTAGGCATTTAGGAGAAGGGAACCTGTGTTTAAGCATCAAATCATTTGACGAACCATTATTTTGTTAAAATTCACCTGCACAAGACTGGAAACTTTATGGGCACACAAATGCATTTCAGTTAACGGCATAAGCAATAGAGATCTTAGAGATCCTGTCATTGTGCTGCCCATAGAGGGCAATGTTACAGTCTCTGCCAAGGGCTCCCATGACCCTCCTCATCACCTAGCCTGTGCTTTTATGCCGCTCCCTAACACAGTGAAAACACCTGGCACATCCAGGTATGAGGAGCATGCATGCTTCAGTGCGATAGTGACCAGGGCTAGGAGCCAATCACTAAGCCCAAGCACTCTCCCATGACCTACGGATTGCGGTCACTGCTTCCCTGCATGGGCAAGGTGACCAGATCTCTTTAAAGAGGTACATAAAAAGCAAAAATACATTTTTGAAGGGAAAATTTAAACAACTCTTACTAATGCTCCAGCCAAGGGGGGTGGAAGAAACGAACATTATATTTAGACAGTATCTACAGTTGTAAGTATCATGCAAGCTAAAATCGGTCATAATCCAGCTATATCAATGAAACAAAGGAAATACATTGGTACTTTAAACTCTTCCTTGGTTAAAATGTACAAATATAATTAGATGTCCAATATGCCAGGAGTCAGAAAAGCTGGTTTAAATAGCGATATACCTGATCCACAGGCTCCTCTGGTATGGACATGACGCTGGTAATCGCAACCTGAAACTCCTCTTGTGTCTTTTTGTGCTGCTCCAGAAGAACATCCCTGGGTGCACTCTTTAAGAGCATAGAGGGGTAAACGTATTTCTTCCTCTGGGGTGTTGTACCTGGAAATCACAAAAATATGTCCATTAACCTCCTGTAAGAACTAAGATTTCAGATTTGCAGTCAAATAGTGACTACATACATCCTGTATTTAATCTTACTAATACAAAGAGTTAAAGTTGAACTCTGGGATAAGCAATATTGTCTAACTACAAGTGTTGTTACTCGAATCTTTGTGAGCTTTGTGCATTTCTTCAAGATCTGTGCAGTAATCCTATGTGACACTCTTTGCAGAGTAATACAGACCAGTCTCTACTGTTCTCCTTGTGCAGGGTAACTGGTCTGGTCTCCGCCCCCTCCGGTAGAACTGCACGCAGCATGTAGCGGGTGAGGCCTGCTTGGTCCCTCCCACAGCTCTGCACAGGCTATGTACAGCACAGTGATGATGTCACTGCTACATATAGAAGGGAATATCTGGACTTGCAAAAACATTTGATGCACACAACATCCTTTGTAGCCATTGAGAAATATTTAAAATGAGGACGTTTTTGATCCTAGAATTAGCTGGGAAATTAAAAAAAGAAAAGCCTAATTCACGGCCAGGCATGCACATCAGGTGTATAGATCAGAAGTACCTTGGTTTCTGATTGGCCAGGCTACCTCTGACCATGAGCCCACCCCTCGGACAAAGGGCTGAAAGGACAAAGCATTGCACCAGCTGGGAAGCTGGTGCACTTAAAGCAGAACTACAACCTCCCATCCCTTATAGCCAAGGAAGGTACCATCTTGGCCTCTATTTGGATTGCAGCTGCCACAGCTGCACAAATCGGCTATGACAGCAGCAACTAAGGTCATGAAAGTTTGGTGGAGATCTGAAATTAGGACACTGGCAACCTTGACAGTTGGCATGCCTTAAATTTTGGTTCTTTTGGCAGACTTTAGATTGGTAAAGAACGCTCCCCTTTAATAAAAAATTATTTTTTACCTGGAAGCATGTAGAGATTTAGAACAAAAAGGTATAAACACAAAACAATGTTGTGTTTATACCTCCCATCCCATATTCTACCACTATATAGCTACCGGGTGCTTAGTCTCGGTTCGTTTCAGTCCCATATATCTATGCAGTACCATATGGCCTGCCAACCAAGCACTAAATCAGATTAAGAATATCACCATGTTCCCTGGCAGAATATTTGCATGCAGCAGACCCAAATGGGTTCCAGTCCTGCCCCTCCATTCCCCTACCCCAGGTGCTGCTGTATGGAAGATTGCAAGAGGCCAAAATTAAAAAAAGTAAAGTTATTACACTACATGCATATTGACAAAATGAACACAGAGCTAGATTTGTCATTTATATTGGCCCGTAGTTTACTTTTAAAAGACTAAAGGGCCACTTATTTGATATCACAACTAAATCTGTCCAATTGTCTCTACATATCAAGCAACTGCCATTTGATAAAAGCACCAAAAACAAATTAGAAATTAAAATTGGACTGCAAAAATACATCCTAATACTCACCAGTAGGAACATCATTCCTTAGCTCATGTGTAAGGTAGGAGTGAACTTTCCCGAGTCCATCTTGTGCTTGTTCACACAGTTCCAGCTTCTGCTCCACAACGGACTGCTTGTCATCATTAACTTGTTCCACCAGTCTGGATAAACCTTTCTCCTCAGACACCCGCTGCTGGTTGACCATACCCGTAATATTCTCCATCGAGGATTCACAGAAGCTTCCCACATCCTGCACATCACAAGAACAGTTCTACCTTAGCACAATATCTAGTTTTAGGCATTTAAAATTGAATGACCATTCACTATCTAAATGGCTGGCTTATTTTGACATTATCCAGAAACGTGGTATTCAGACAATACTTTTGGGATCCTTCACGGCTGCGGCGCAAATGATCAGGCATTGGCCCACTATCTGCTTACGTTGGGTTACAAGAGCACATTAGCAAATGTACTCCTGTGACCCAGAAGACAAATAAAGCCAAAAATAAGGGTATGGCTCTACTTGTTCTTTAATTGGCAAATGCAGCATACTTCTGACATCCGTTTGAGATGCTTCCGAGACCAGAATTAACTGCTTTAGCAGCTTTTACATTCCCACAGACTTATAGCCAGAAAAGTCCTGAAGCGGACAAAAGCCTGTTGACCAGGACCTTTATAATGCTTAGAGGTTCCTACATCAAGCAGGGGGAAGCAGGACAGGGTCCAGTCCTGGGGGCCTCAGGAGTGGATCCTTTAAGGGAAGAAAGGAACCAGATCCTGGCCTTTCAAACAACATAGGGAAAAACACCCCTCCGCTCTACAGCAAGGCCAGAAGGGAGGGAAAACACCTTCAACAGCAGAGCCGCACAGAGGGGGATCCGTGACCTCAAGGCCAACCGGTCAGGAAGAAAAAGAACAAACGTGACGTGGTCCTGGACGGTAGGAAACACAATCTAAACTGAGGTACGAGGGGAAGGGGAGGGGCTTTTAACTGTTTTGCTAATTGTGTTTCCTGTAGAAGGTGGAACCAATCATCTCTCAGGTTGCTGTCCTGGAAGATGATTGGGGAAATGTTTTTATATATGGGAGGGGCCAGACCACTGGGCTAAACCCCACTTCTTCTATCCACACCCTGTCCAGTGAGAGCACCTGCAGGCACTTTGGAAGGTGGGCAGAGAAGTCTGGCACCTAGTAACATGCAAATAAAAATCAGGCACATATAAAAAGGAAGGTCTTCAGAAGAAGAAAAGATGACCAAGTCATCTATGACTGAGCATAGTTCAACAGGCATCCAGTAAATACGGCAATTTTGAAACAAATGCTTTACCTTTTGGAAACTTTGGAGCTGTATCTTGGCAAGCTGGAAATAGGCTTCCTGCTGTTGAGCAGCAGATGCCATTGCCTTGGTGGTAACATCACACCACTCTTCTGTGTCTTTTGATATAGCAGTAATACTGGAGCTGAGCTTCTCGCACTGTCTGCTGGACTCCTCTACGCTGCTTATGTTGGATCCTGCCTGCTGCCGGATCTCACCCTCTATGGCTGCACACTGGTCCACAAATGTACTGTGGTGGGTGGAAGTTTGTTCAATGGCTTCACATGTAACACTGCAAGCGGAACAATGATAAATGAGAATATGAAGACAGAACTATTATGGTGTATGGTTCTGGATTATTTCCAGGTTATTACAATAAAGCCCATATCACAAAACTTAATTACGCCTTGTTGATTTAACTAGTCAGGGTTATAATGGGAAACACAGAAGATCCAATACGGGCAGACATGTTATCCCATTACATTTGACACAAGGGCACTCCAATGCTGTCCAGACAAAAAAAGCAACAAGATGCAGCTTATTCATTCACTTTAGTCCACAGTAACCCCCGATTTTAGATAAAACAATCTTACAATTAATTCAGTCATTGAGCCGACAGGCCTCATTTTCTTGAAACAAACCAGCGCAAGCAACCTGAATAATCAAAAGAACTGTATTACAACTACCACTGCCATGTAAACACCACTAAAAAGGTACGTACTTATCCAGATCTTCCCGCAGTAATCCTGTAGATTTCTGTAACTTTTCTTCTTTACTCAGAAGTCCTTGGAAGGTTTGAGAAAATAAGCTCAACTGATTTTGCATGGAACTTATGAGTTTATTTACTTCCTGCATTAAAAGAAGCAAAAACAAAATAAGGCGGTGTCAGAGTCTCAAAGGAAAGCAGGATAAGATTTAATTTCTTCATACAGTTAAGCACAAGACATCCAGATTGACACCTGTTGTGTTACGCGCACTAGAAAAGAAGAGTCTCACAAATCGCTGATCACAAAAACGGTTTGGGAAAAATGAAGGCCGACAATTGGATCGCTAATGGTTACCTCCACTCACCTGACAGAAATTAGACTCATAAGAAGGTTAAACAATAAGTGCAATTTAAAACATCCCCCATGTCCTGAGCAAACAGATTCCATCCTCTTCCTCCACAGATGTATTCTTACGTCGATTCAACTCCTTCAAGCTCTAGGGATTGTTTACATCCCGTGTCCCAAGCCTTCTCCATCTTGGCCACGCCTGCACAGTAGAACCCCAGACTTCTTTTGGGCTTGTCTACCTCCCTCTCCCGGCCAAGAGACGAGCCCTATAGACTTCTATGGGACTCTATTGCGCAGGCAGGAAAGAAAGGACCTAAGGTGCAGGGTGTCAGAGGGCATTGAATCTTGGCCAGTTTGCTTCTGTGGAGGAAGGTGGGAAATGGCAAAAAGTAGAGTGCACTTTGTCTGAAAGGGATTCTTTAACGTGACACTAAACTCAGGTGTTTAAATATTAACTAAATTCAAGTATCCTAACCATTAACATAAAATGTATTTTATTTGTGCATCACCATAGACCCTCAAATTATCCCTGAACTGGTGCAGACACTGTCCTTTATTCTGGAGGGTGGCTACGTTTGTTCCCCATGGACCCTGTGTGTGTTGTAAATTAGCCACCACTCCAAGATGACTCCCATGATTAACCATAATTTCAATGCAAACTAAACGTGAGATTGTAGTCCATCATGGGAGTAAGCTTGGAGCGGTGGCTACTTTACAACACACGCAGGAACCATAAGTAGCTACCCTCCAGAAGGAAGGACAGCGTCGGCACCAATTCAGAAATGATTTGAGGATCTACAGCCGAGCGATACACAAATAAAATACATTTCTGTTAATAGTTAGGGTACTTGAATGTATTTTTCAGATTTAACGCCTGAGTTTAGAGTCACTTTAAGTCAATAAAACAGTTTTTTTTGGTGTTCAGATTACCATGGGGTGCTAAACAGGACCAGCGAGAACTAGAAGACTGATTTGCTATAAGCATTATAAAACTCCCTCTTTGAATCTCCCCTAAAAATTCTCGACTCTTGATAAATCAACTACACATAAGAGGACAGCCAGGGAAGCTAGCATTTTCACAACAGGCCACATTTTAGGGTTCTCACAGATATCTTAGTTGCTACAATGGCATTCTCTGGACAGAAAAGATGTCTGGGCTGTACCTCTGAATGCAACGTCTGAGCAGCCTGGATCTCCTCTCTCAAACACTGGGACTCTGACTGAATACTGGACAGAGCGGATGTGGAATCCAGACGCAACTTGTGCAGCATCATAGAATGATCGGTGAAAAATCGTTTCATGTCTTCTTTATGGGCGGCCACCTGAAGGCAAATCACACCATTATTTAGCAAGATTACAGCACATCCAAAAAGAATTTAGTACTATGACCCGAATTACAACCCTTTTCACAATTGCTCACTTAGTAACAGTTTAAATCTATAACCAGTGTATCTATGCCAACTAAGTTTAGAGGAGCTGGACTAAAATAAATACTTGATTGAGGGTTATTGTAAATCTTTGCCATAGTGTCCATTGTCCAATGGCTTAGTGGTTAGCACCTTTGCCTTGCAGCACTGGTATCCTTGCTTGATGCCCAACCAGGACATTATCTACATGGAGTTTGCATGGGTTTTCGCCATGTATCTGGTTACCTCCCACACTCCCAAATCATGCTGGGGAGGTTAATCGACTCCGGTCTTAAACTGGCCCTAGTATGTGTGTGCATGGATGTATGCGTGTGACGTAGGGACCTTCGATTGTAATCGCCTTGAGGGTAAATGGACTGATGTGAATGTACATTATGTAAAAGTGCTGCATAAATGGTCAATGCTATATACTTAGAATAAATATTAAAGTCAAGCTGTGGTTTGTCCATGCAGTGCAAAGCAACAGATTTTTTTTCCCTTTTTAAAAGTAAGTTTCCTTACCTTTTTGTCCCCACCCACCGAACTAGATCTAGCCCCTTCTCCACTGCTGGGCTAATGCATTCTGGCACCCACCAATGTCAGAATACCTGCACAGTCACTGGGCAATACATTTTCCACCAGTCTCCCTTAAAACTTGACTGCAGGGCCACCACAGCTTGAATTTCGATAAGATTTAGCAGGAATTAGCCATAATTTGTGCTGTGGGTGGCCAGCTTGACAGTGATAATCAGAGAGAACTTACCTTGTCTGCAACACTGAAGAAAGTTTGTAAGCATTGACTCAAGTTAGAATTCAGATGTAAAACGGAGGTTACAACTGGCAGCAAGTCTGTTGTGAGGGCTTTCTGGAGAGTGAAACGGAATTCAGCCTGGCAGGGAAAGACAGAAGATGACACCATTTTCATAAAGCAGGCATAAATCACATCATGACTGAGGACAACAGATCACTTAAAGTAGTATTAAACTCCCAAAACCTTTTTAATAATGACTCTGGATCAAATATGCATTGCCCAGCAAAGTACGGTATTACTTTACATTTTTGCCTAAAGACTTGAGTCATCATGTTTCCAAACAACTCCCAACTCTGTTCCACTTCCCTGAACTTCCTGTCCAGTACACGATCACAAGGGAGAGCAGAGTCTCCAGCAGCCATTTACTAGCTTGGAGAAGTGTCTTGCTTTGCTGTGCCTGTGTGTTTGTGCAGAAACACACAGCTTACTAGCACACACCTGGGTGGCTCCATAAGATCCTGCAAGGGTAAGGAGCCACCCTAAATCAGGACATCAGTGCCAGTGCTCAGCCGATTCTGCAAGTAACAAATTCAAGGAGCAACATCCATAATAAGTGATTTAATCAGCAGTGAATATCTACGGAAGAACATTCATGCTAGTCCAGCTAACCTACACATGGCCGGTAGTATTTTGTGCCTTCATACCTTAAACATATTTCCAAAGGGTATGTGTAGGAAAACATTTTCCCCAATTTGTAGTTAAGGGTTACGTTTTCATTGTGGTCTGTGTCCGGTTTATGTTTTCTTGTCACTGATCGGAGACAAAATTAAAATCCAAAATTCTGAGTTGTCACCAGGACATGGAATCTTCCAGGGGACCCTTGTGCTGGTGACAACCATCTAAGAGGGGAATTCAACTTACCTTAGAGAGATCTTCTCTTATTATCTGTGCCTCCAGGATAGGAAGTGCAGGAAAAAAAATCGCCCCAACTAGAAACAGACAAGGGTTTAACCCTTCCCAGTATATAAAACGTTTGGGCTTTCATACACTTGAATGGGCATTTTGGCCAGTGTAAAGCTGAATGCTGAGCAGAATAAATTGACCATGCCATGGAGCTCCCCTGCACTGAAAACTTTAAAAAGCTCAATTTGTTGTGGGGGGGTGGGGGGGTAGGAGGAGGAGGACACGACAAAAACCCCCACAACAAACCATATACTTAGTCTATATCTCGCTCCTGCAGGTTTTCTCCTAAGTGCACAACCAGCTTCCCAAATCTGCTGTTCTTATTGAATGCAAACATTCTTACATCACATGCATGCAGGACCAGCAGGCCTGCATTGCAAGAGAAGAAACCAAGGAGCAGCAAAGAAGACAACGACTGCTAGGTAGGAATTTATGAATAAGGTAAGTAGATTTGGTCTTTTAGCTTTCCCTAGATGAAATGCATCTAACCCTTGAATTGGATGCAGGGAAGCACTACTGAAAGGGACTTTTAAAAATGTTTCTAAGAGTTAAGCTTTAAAAAGGTAAGAAAAATAGGTTCCATGGCTGCAATAAGCAGGAGGATGTGCTACCAAACAATATAATTAAGTACATCCTTTTTTAGAAGTAGGTTTCAAATTTCCCAGGCCAATAACTGTTTAGGATGCCGTCACAACAGCAGGAAGGCAAGGGCCTGTTAAGTTAGCTCAGTGATAAGGTTCCAAACTTTTGAAAAAAAAAAAAAAAAAAAAATAGGGGAGGACCAAAAGATCTCTCCCAACTCACCATCCGCTTTTGCAGATCATCCCTTGCTTGGGACGACAGACCCTCCTGCTTTAATATTTCTTCAGTACTCTGAGTCACTTGTACTGACACCGTTTCAGCAATAGCAGCAAAGGACGTGGACACAGCAGAGGTGGTGGTGTTTGATGCAGAAGACAGCGCAGCCAAGTGAGAGTCTGCCAAAAACAAAATGTACGTATAAAATTAAAATTGCAAACATGTCTTTTTTAAATTTCAAATACGTTAGACATTTTTGTGGAATAAAAAAACAAAATCGTAGGCAGATTGTTACCTATAGAGCCGATATAGAAATCCTGCATTCCCTGCTGCTTTACACTGTAATCTTCCACAGATTTCTGGATTTTATGAAACATTCTATCCATCTGCTCTGCAAAGCTCTCATGGACCACAGCATTATGTTGGTCCACAGCCTTTTTACGATCCAGTTTGGCATGGAGGCCAGATACATCTTCGGTGGTTTCCTGGACTGTGACAAGTAACTAAAAACAAAAGAAAAAAAAAATGCCTTTATAGGTTTTAATCATTTTTAGCATTGTATACAATTTAGGTTTTTGTTTTTTTATTGAACACACTACAAAAAACAGTGTTATATTGTAACAAGGCAATTTATAAAGTCCATGCTGAATTTCAGGAAAATTCTAAGCTCAAGCCATTAACACCTGTTCCATATTTGAGGTCCTGGTAAATGGTCAAAGCTTCCAAAGAATATATATAAAATTTTTCTAAAGTACATCCAGAGGATAGGAAAGAACCAAACTTCAAACATGTCTGAGCAGAAGTGGGCAGCTAGATGATATAATGCCGACAAGCTGACTGTACACCTCCCAGAACTGCCCTGGTTTGTTCTCCAGCCAGCAAATGAACACTTCTTCGGGGTGGTTCCTTCAACACATATGCGAGTATAGAGCTGCACGGGGGTCACGTGTAGCCCTCAACAGTGTCTTATGTTTAAAATGTAAAGTCATGGCATTTATGGATCACAATCCAAACAAACTTACAACAGGCAGAATTACTTGAAGGAAGAGATCTTAACTGACATAGATGGCAGCACTGTGCCAGAAGACTCTCCCAAATCTGCATTTTATTCAAAAGAAATCTTTTTTTTTTTTAAAAAGCAATTTTAAAGGCTAGAAATATGGGATCTTTCAGAGCAAATGTGTTTCTCAAGGTTCAGGCTCTGGGGCTGTCATCCTGACTTCACTACATAAAGTGTAAAAAGCAAGCTGCCATTGCAGTTTAAAAATTCTCATACCATACCTTATCTAGTCTGTTATTTACTAGGTAAAGTGACAGTAAACTGAGGAGTTAAATCTTCAAAATCAAGTAACCTAGCTATTACCACAACTGGACCTTATGTGTGCATCACTCGGTTGTAGCACCTCAAATCATCTCTGAACTGTGCTGACACTGTCCTTCCTTTAGAAGGGTGGTTAATCTGAGCCGACCTGTGACAATTAAACTGTCACCAGTCGGCTCAGTAGATCTGGAAGTGAGCGAACCCATACCGTCGCTCGCTCACTTCTCGATCTATCCCTGCAGAAAGCTGTGACTGTTACTCACAGCTCCCTGCAGGGAATCCCACCCCCCCTCCCATGTCCGATCCTCCAGCGCTGACTGGACGGGGGAGGGGGCTGGCACAGCCTCTGGATAGGCAGAGCCAGCTGTCAATCCCTCAGCTGCGTGGATCTCGACAGCAATGTCTGGATACATTCCGGCTGCGGCGTCTCGGTATACTGCGAGCTGTAGCTCGCGGAATACTGAGCTTTGGCTCACGGGAGAAAGCTAGTTTGCGTTCTCCCGTGACCCTTAGGAGAACTATGGGGGAAAAGCCCTGACCCTATAGTCCTCCTTTAACTCCTGAGTTTAGTATCACTTTAAGCCACAATGATGATTCCCCAGAGCCGACTGCTTTAAAAAGGAGAACTATGAGGTGAGTAATTGTCACTCATTCTCAATAGTTAAGAGCCGACGTGCAACATTGAAACTGTCACACGTCGGGTCTATAGATCAGGAGGTGAGAGAACACATACGGTCGCACGCTCACTTTGCGATCATCTCCCTGCAGAGAGTGGTGATCATCAGTCACCACTCCCCGCAGGGATTCCCCCCTCCTGACTGGAGGAACGGACGGGGAGGGCACAGTTGGCTCTGCCTCTAGATAGACAGAGCAAGCTGTCATCAGCCAGCTGGGTGGATCTCAACAGCATTGTCGGGATTCGTCCTGGCTGCGGCGCTCTCAGTATATAGCGAGCTATATCCCGCTATATACCGAGCTTTGGGTCACAGGAGGTTAGTATATTCTCTCCCGTGATCCTAAAGAGTACTACGGAATAAAAAAAGGTTACACCATAGTTCTCTTTTAAATCAAGTAAATAATGGCATGAAATCTTTGTACGATTAAATCTCCCTTTGGATCGTGACCGACTGTTGAACCATTTACTCTTCATACGTCACACTAGACATGCCCTCAGCAGATGTTCAACTTATGGTCTCAGACTGGTAGACATTAGGCCCAACTCATAGTAAAACAGACAAGGTATATTCCAACTTGATCATACTAAAAAGTATACTATTGATCAGACACATTGAAGAGAAGAATTCTGTATTTCCATAAAGGAATAGTCGAAGTAAAGGTATCCCCAATATTAGGTCTGGAGTGACCAGCGGGTCAACAAACCAAAAGCCCAATAACGTGCAAATGTTTCCTTGAAAGCGATCATAGCAGGGAATATCCATTATAATACTTGTGCCAGGTCACGGCCACAAACTATTCAAAGTATGTCAGTGAACATTTTCAGGAATATAAATGGCAGCCTTCATGTTTTTTGCTTGGCATGGTTACTTCAATTCATTCCTCCCCCACATGTAATATACTCTACAATAAAATACTAAGAATATGTGTAGAGAAGTTGCCTATAACAGCCAGGTAGTTTCCTTCATGATTTTGAAAAAAGGCAGAATCTAAACTCAACAGTAAACTCAAGCTTTCTGTATAAGCAAATATCATAAGGTTTACACTACAGAAAACAAATGCTGAATTCTAGCAAGACAGGACATGGAGATTACTAAAATAAGAAACTACTACAGAATCCAGCACAGGTAATTATGTGAACACAAGACCGGTCATGGTAATATTTGCAGGCAAACAAGTCATTGCAATACCTTGTTAGCAGTATTATGAAGCTTCTTCTCTGTGGTCTCCAGAACGGACACCACAAACTCCTCCTGGGACAGCCGCAACTTAGAATCCTGCAAGTTCTTCTGGGTTTCCTCCAGTTCCTTCTTCTTATACTGCAGGACTGTGCTACACTCCTCTAACTCCTTCTTACTCTCAGAGAACAGCTCAGTCACCTGCCAGAGTATAAAGTCAATAAATATAAATTTTAGTAATTCAAGAATCACTGCGCTAGGTGTGAAAACTAAATAACTAAATAATTAGTTCGACCAGCCGCAACTATGCGTGTGGGTGAACTTATTAAATCGCAAGTGAGTTGCGCTCGGTCTCGACAAATAATAAAATATGTGCACTCTATACGACGTGAAGAAGTTACTAAGTTCAGATTCTACTGTGAAAAAATTATAAATCTCGATAGTCACTACCTCGGTAATAATTTATATATACACGACCAATCTGTGACACCGAGTCATTTATATTTGGATTGGTGTCTTTGAATAGATTGTCACATCATTAAGAGGTTTTGTTTGGACAAACCATGTACGCTTAGTACACAGAAACACCTAATCAATACACCGGCTGGTGATTGAAAACCCTTTTCCCACACCTGATTGTTGTATTGCACAATTATTACCGAGGTAGTGACTATCGAGATTTATAATTTTTTCACAGTAGAATCTGAACTTAGTAACTTCTTCACGTCCTATAGAGTGCACATATTTTATTTTATTTATTTGTCGAGACCGAGCGCAACTCACTTGCGATATAATATAAATTTTAGGTTGATTGTTGCTCTAAGTTTACTTTTCTGACCATGTTTTAAATTTTGGGTGCAACATGGTCACTTGTTCTTGGAACCCTGACGAAGTCAGAGTAAGGATGAAACATGGCATCACGTATACTCTGCTCCTCATCACCATGTGGTGTTGGATGATGGTGTGCAAACACTCGGATGTCTGATTTCCTTTATGCGGGGGAGCAACTGGGACTGCAATCACCTGAATTGAATGTGCAAGAGGTGGAGAACCGCACAAATATTCCAGGTGATGTAGCTGTACGAAACCCCCCACCCCTTCCCAAGTAGCAAATGGAATACAGCTCCCGATACATCTTTCATGAACCCTGTATGCATTATTGGAGAATGCACAAAGTTGGGAGTTCCTATTCTAGGAAGTAAGCCAGCCTTAAATATGGAGGAACCATTGCCAACTTCCTGAACATTCTCCTAAGCTGACAACTTACAAGTTAGCTGATCAGGAAAATTTAGAAGATTTGTCCCAGGTCAGTGAATCTACATTTTAAAAAAGGACAAAAGGGCTAGCATGATAACCACACAACTAGACTTAGGAAGGAAAAGTCAGAAATGGCAGCTTCCACATGAGGGATTATACTAGTTCATAATGTGTGTTTCAATGTGGCTTGTTAACCCTACACTGCAGCAAACTTATTTTGCAGGTGAACATAAACAAATACCCTCTTGAGCTCCTCCTCCATGGCAGAAATCTTTTCCATGAATTCTGTGATTTGTTCTTCTTGACACACAATTTTTCCCTGAAGCTCTCTGTGTAAAAAAAAATAAAAAAATTATAAAATCAGAATAGTTATGCTCAAATATATAAGTTAACCTAAGCCAACCTGGACAAATCCCAGGAGCCAGGTAGCTGGTGCTCCTTAAAAGATAACTGTGGGGTAAACTTTTCATCCCATAGTTCTCTTAAGGGTTACAGGAGAACATATACTAACCTCCTCCCGTGACCCAAAGCTCAGTATATAGCGTGCTACGGCTCGCTATATACTAAGAGCGCGGCAGCCGGGATGGACCCCGACAATACGGTTGAGATCCACCCAGCTGGCTGATAGAGCCCTCAGTCAATCTAGAGGCAGAGCCAGCTGTGCCCACCCCTCCCCTGTGCATTCCTCCACTCAGCACTGAAAGATCAGATAGTAGGGGGGAAATCCCTGCGTGGAGCAGTTACTGACAGTCGCTGCTCTCTGCAGGGAGATGATCGGGGAGTGAGCGAGCGACTGTATGCGTTTGCTCACTTCCCGATCAATAGAGCCGACATGACACGCTTGTAAAAAAAAACAAACATACTCATAGTTTTCACTGGAGAGGTAGACCCCATTCTTCTCCCTGGCTGTTGCAAGGTCCCTCTTTAACCGTTCAATCTCCTCTGTGTATTCCTGAAGAGAAAGGTGTACGGTCAATACTGCCTTTGTCATTATAAAGATGGTTCCAACACTGCAGTATGTCTAATGGCAGACATTTACCTTGATCAGTGCCCGCTTGGTCAGTTTCTGGTTGACTTCAGGCTTGTTCATGATATTCTTGGCTCGGTTGGCATATTCTAAAGTGCTCACAGTTTCCTGCCATGAAAAACGCACAGTTCTAACACACAAAAGAGGTATTTGGAGCACAAAATTATATATTGCATAAAAGCAAATTTAAAAAGGGTTACATAAATCCAAGTGCAATTTTGTAACTTTTCCATAACAGGTCCTTTATTTCCTCAGCATAGCTGAAGTATTTGAACGGATACTTTGCCATCTTAGCTAAAGCAGCCTTCATCAACCAGCATGCCACAGCACCCTGGGGTGCCTTCTGGCTTTGCAAGGGTTGCCTATACATTTGTACATAGTGTAATTCATTTCCATGGTGAAGGTGAGCTGGGCACCCCAACATTTATTGGAGTACAGAATTCTGCCTCTTGATCTGCTCTACCAACCACACGGTGGATGTGTGTGTGTGTGTGTGTGTGTGTGTGTGTGTGTGTGTGTGTGTGTGTGTGGGCAGGTTGCCTTTTAAAATGCCGGACCCCTATCTAGGATAAAGCTCTAAATAGATGCTCGAGGGAACCACGTCACTCTTAACATTTACCTTTTTTAAAATTTTAGACTGGGGATGCATTGAGATTTTGCATACTTTTAAAAGCTGAAAAAAGTTCAGAAATGTTGGACTAAAGTAATAAACTGCTTTCATTTCATCTGCAGCACTGCTTTCATTTCATCTGCAGCACTAACACATTCCAGTAAATAGAATGCTGTTTCCTGTTGACCCTGCCAGTTTTAAGAGAATGACCCCTCATCTCATGGAGAGAGCCGACAATGCTGCAAGACCACTGCTGAAATGCCTGCAGTGGTATCACCCTCTCAATGCAGCGCTACAATCTTGTGTGGTTACGTTGGCACTATGATGGACAGGCGTGGTCTATCATAGAGAGTGCCAACGTAACCACACAGGAAGCAATGACAGTTGGGCCTGGAGGATAAAAAGCAAATATAGTGGCACCTAAGAGTGCATTTCCCCCCAGACACCAATGTACTCTGGAAAACTGTCCCAGAGCCATCTTGTACAAAGAGGGTGAGGGGGGCAAAAACTGAAAAATTTCCATTTCAAATAATATAAGTGGACATAAAACTTTGATAGAGAGCTTTTCCATGTACTTTGAATATTTATCAGATCACAGCAAATCAAAAACGTACTGGTGTCAAAGTACTTCCATGGTAGAAAACATTGGGAGAAAGCACTAATTACCTCTAGGTTAATGGAGGCCGGAGAGACCGTAGCAATGATTGACGTTTTTGTTCTTCCTCCCAGAGAGTCCTGCAGGATTCTTGTGAGCTTAGATTCCCTGTATGGGATATGCGGAGCTCTCTCTACCAGGGCTGTGATAACCCTGCCCAAAGTTAGCAAAGACTGATTTATATTTCCAGCTTCACGGGCTCTCTTGTCTACAGCTCCAGAGCGGCCTATGTTCTCACTTCCAGCCAAATCAACCTGCAAAAGACATTTATAAAAAGGTTAATAGGGCAATCTAAACTGGCTTCATACAGGATGATCACTGGTGGATGTGATAGACTGAGAACTCAAACCTCTGTCATAACTAAAAGAATAAAGAGACTGTAATGAGGTCCTCCATGTTTAGATAAATAGAAAGAAGACCTTTAACCCCTTCATGACTGAGCTAGTTTTCAGGTTCTGTTCATAAATGACTGACACATTTTTTACATTTTTGCTGTGTGATTCTTCCACAGCAGTAATATACTTTCTTACTAAATGTACACATAAATATTATATATTGTTTTTTAGAGGACAGATAGGGCTATATAATTATATCACATATGTGTACCTAACCCCTCACTTAGTTTGAATAAAATAAAAAAATTGGGAAAAAACTAGAAGAAAAAACACTTTTTTCACAAGTTTTGATTATTTTTTTTTTTAGAATTTTTTTATATTAATTATAGT